TTACGTGTAGTAATATTATAAGTCACGTAGCAATCATTGACAAGCCAAGACAGAGCATGACGAGTAACAGCACCGTAACTACGTTTATCTAACTTTAGGTTACGCAATAAGGCATCAACGCTAAATTCTGCGCCTTTATTATTGTTAAAATAGTCAATAAGTTTTAAATAAATATCAAGTGCTACACCACTGAGTTTATGATGACCTGAATCTTTATTAGCGTATGCAGTATCAGTCATACCTCCTTGCACATCAGAAGTGTCTAACATACTTGGATGCTCTGATATAGCTTGATCATCAATATACTGCTTAGAGTCATACATATCTATGTATTCCCAAGCAATAGCGCTATTATCACTAGGCATAGTTTCGTCTTCATACTGTGCTTTTAACCAACCAGCATGAGTAAGCTCTTTAAGCGCGTGTTCTATATGATCTACATTAGCCATATCACGCGAAACAGTGCGTATATACTCATATACAGTGTCAAAGCTAACATAACCGCCTTTGCTTTTGATATACGCTAAAACATCAGAAGCGTATCGAGCATTGGGCATAGGTCGCTTATCTGTATATGGCACAGGTAAAGATTCGGCTTGCTGTACTGGAACGTCAGGCAAGTCACCGCGTAAGTCATGTATGTATTGGTACACTAGAGCTGAGCTTTTATTAACGCCATCCGCATAGTCACTTTTAGTAATCCACCCTAAGTCGATAAGTTCGTCTAAGTGTTCTTCTACAGCAGACTTAGCATACGGCGGAACTGCTGGCGTATATTTATAGCCAAGAGCATTTAAATGCTCAATAATAGAATCATAAGAAACTATATCGTTAGACTTGATAAACGACAACATATCAAGCATCGCGCCGCCTGTAGGCTCAACACGCGGATATGGGATACCAGCATACTTCCATTTATGAGGCTCTGGCGCGCTAGGTACTACAACTTTTATCCACTTTTGCGCGTATAAAGTGTCAAGCGCTGCTGATACATACTCAGGCTTAACTTGTGGGTCAGTTACCGCCATAGCTAACTTAATTTCTTTGAGAGACAGAGGTTTACCACAATCGCGCAATAACTCTTTGACTTTAGCAACTACAAACGATTGGCTTATACCTTGTACACTCTGCCCACATTGTTCCATTGCGGTTTTAATTTGTTCCGCTAACGCATTAGCTGTAACGCCTAATTCTTTTAACTGTTCTAAGTTCATCTTTAGCTCCTTGAAGCTGATATATGTAATCTGTATATCAGATACTATATTAATGACTATATAACTGTCAACTATTTTGACTATTTTACCCTAAGTAATTGAATCCGCCCTGTAATATAACTTTACATTAATATAATAACAAATAAATCAATAAGTTATATTTAGCTATTTATTTAGCTACGACTATGACTACGCTATAAGCTAAACTATTAATATAACTAATCTATGACTACAGCCAATGCAGACTATGACTAAACTATATAATATGACTATTTTGAACAAAAGTGCTAAGTTGTTGAATAGTATAATAATAATAACAATAATAATTGAAGTGATGACTATGATATTTAGCTATTTTGTAGGTGAAAATGCTGTAAGTGCTTGAATCCTCCCTGAAAATAAGTATCCACAGGTTTATCCATAGGATAACTGTTTGATTGTAATAACAATAATAAAAATAATAAATCAATAATAACTAATAATCATGTGGATAACTCATTAAGTGATTGATTCTAATAATAATAATAAAATAATCAATTTTTTCTAGTATAATATAATTTGCGATACTTTTATGCCTATATAAATAAAGGAGATATTATTATTATTATTATTATTATTTTATTATTTATATTATATTCAATTACTTACATTAACTTTTAGTTTCATTTCCGCTGTGCAAGTCAAAATACCGCTGAGAAAAGGCGGTTTATTTTTATTATTATTATACTATTCAATGATTTACGTAACTTTGACTGGAATAGTCATGTAGTCACAGGTAGAAATAGCTAAAAATTAAAATTAATTAAATCAATTAGTTATAAATATGTATCAAGATATTTCTCGAAAGAATCAAAGACTTACGTAATTTCGCCAATTGGTATAGTCAAGGGGGTAGTAGGTCTCGCCGCTAAGTAGTCACCGCTATAGGTAATGCGCCAAAGTTGATTTTCAGGCGCAAAATCAAGCATAATGTGGGCATTAACGGCGAAAGAGATGTGTTATGGCTATTGATTCAGCTAAATTGGCTGCTTCGGGCAGTGAGATGGGAATACAGCGCGCTATTTTGAATGAGATAACGTTGATGATACGTCCTCATTTTCGTATGGTTGACTTGATTTATCATGTACCTAACGGCGGTTATCGTGGCGATGCTAAATCAGCTGCTATTGCTGGTAATAACTTGAAATTGATGGGAGCTAAGGCTGGTGTGCCTGACTTATGCTTTCCTTATCCTAACTTTGGTTTTGGCGCATTGTACGTAGAGATAAAGCGACCTAAAGACGGCGGACTTGACCCTGATCAAGTTGACTTTATACCTATGTTAGTATTGGCTAACAACTTCATTGCCATAGTCGATGACTGGGCTGTTGGCTATCAGCTATTTTACGATTGGATTTATATGTCTAGTGCGGCTGAGTTTTTAGCTAAATACGGTACTGGTGACAATAAATATATTTATGACCCACAACAGTACATGCGAAAAGCAGTGAAAAAACGCAAGAATTAGCAATTTTTATGTATTTAGGTAGGGTATCACCAGCTTGGTCGCTAAAAACAAAAATAGAGGGCATTTTGGAGCAAATAGAGGATAATTTTAGGGTAACTTAGTAGTTAAAGGGTAATTTTGAAATTAAAGGTAACTTTACCCCTAAAGGGCGCTATTTTCGGATAGTGCCTTTATTTTTGGCTTATTATCTGACTAGTATGTTAATGCAAATAGTATGCCAATTGACTATTATGACATGCGTATACGCACGCGCACACACGTATAAAGTAGTGATAGCGGTATTTTCAGCGTATAAAAATAATTTAAATATTTTTGTTTTGGCGGTTGACGTGACTATACTGACAGCGTATATTTGAGGAATACCGCAACGGCGGATTTATTTAAAAGGAAAACGACATGACTAAATTTGATTTAAATTCAGCTACCCAATTACAAGCACGCGTCGCACACGATGTTAAAGAACTAGAGCTAGTTATTGAGCATTTAAAAACTATTCATCGCGATCATAGAGATGCTTTACTTGGCGGCGCTCACTATAATTTTCTAATAATGGATAACGGCACACTACCGCATGCAGCGGCGCGTATAAATGCACGTGCTTGGCAAGATTGGCTATATTTAAATGGCTTTAATAATCGCTATCATTACGGCGATCATAAGGCGCACACTGCAACAAACTATCTTGTTTACGCTGACTTACATAAAGACCGCCGCCACGATGGTGTAAAGCTTGCAGACATGAAGCCATTTAGTGTGGAATTGGCGCAAACGTTCTTTACTGAATGGCTAGCTGACACGCCTGAGCTATTGCAACGTATGTTACAACATATGAAGCATAATATCGGTAAAAAAGCGACGTTTGCGAAAAAGTTCACGTTTAGCACTGGTTATTACGATAGCGATTGGGATTATAAAGTGGCTAATTTGCATTACGTTATAGCGTTTTTATGCGGTATTGATTTTACGTATAGCGGCTTTTATACAGTGTGGCGTAATACAAATAGAGCTTGTGACNCAATTTTCTATTAAGGATATTTGATTTAAATCCATGGACGATGTTAACAAAAACATGGCCATACCATCGTTTTTGTCCCATTGGCTTGTGTCACCCACCCTGGGTTTCTCCTCATCAATATTCAAGCCTTTAGCCTTCAAGGCACATTTAATTTGGAATTTCCACTGTCTAAAGTCTTTCCCGTTGAATTTTTCGATCCGCATGGAATTTGTGACTTCCATTTTTTTTCGAACGACACTTTTTCTGCTCTTTACTCAATTCGTAGGTATTAACGTACCTGGGCCCATAACCTGTTAAGGTGTGGTTAAAATAAACTCTTGAGTAAGATTTCTCACGTATATTTCAAGTAAAATAAAACGTATTACAAATCAAACAGTCATGGCGAGAACAACCGAACAACGAACCAAAAACAAACCCCTGGCGGTATTCAAACGAACTATTTACCTTTTTAAGAATACCACGCAAAGATATTAAGTATTATAAAATTTACATCTTAACAGTATCTAAGTTATTCATTCATCCACATAGTTATAGATGACCCACGCTGAACTGTCCCACCAAACTCAATGACAGAGGGGCGCTACCATCGTTTAACTATATGGTTTCCAACATGGCAAAAATCGGAACCAGCGGTCCGGTATTGACGGTGGCGCCCCACTGTCAATGTCATGGTATTTTGGAACTATACAAGTTTCTGTGCTTGTCACTCACGCTAGACATGTCTCCCCGCCAGACACGTCTCCCCGCCAGACATGTCTCCCCGCCAGACAAGTCTACCCGCCAGACATGTCTCCACGCCAGACACGTCTCCCCGCCAGACACGTCTCCCCGCCAGACATGTCTCCCCGCCAGACACGTCTCCCCGCCAGACATGTCTCCCCGCCAGACACGTCTCCCCGGCAGACATGTCTCCACGCCAGACACGTCTCCACGCTAGACACGTCTTTTTTTTTTATGTGATAGGAGGCAAACGAGCACATGGATCACCTGATGGTAAGTGATTACCGTCGCCCATACCATCGTCGTGCGTTGCCGGCCTTTAAGATAAAGATACGCTCTCCTCTTGAAAGCTTGCAGGTCGTATCCGTCCGGAAACACCGCAGACAACAGTCCATTCCACAGTTTGGTTATACGGGGCAGGAAGTTTCTAGAGAAACGTACTGTTGTGGATTGCCAACCATCTCCACGCTAGACACGTCTCCACGCCAGACACGTCTCTCCGCCAGACATGTCTCTCCGCCAGACATGTCTCCCCGACACTCACCCGCTCGGCGACGGACACGGCAGAAATGCGTCGCGGCTGCGTGCAGTAGATTCTCGCAGGTTGTTTGTGCTCCTGGCAGTGCTCTAACACCAGTTGCGGCAGCTGCGTCGTTTTGCCGCAGCCGGTGGCACCCGCTACTATTATAACCTAGGAGAAAAAATCAAGGATAAATAAAGAAACTTTCATCATAAAACATCTTAAGGTCTGGTTCAGAAACAATGGTTGCTGGGCAGTTCTCGCATATTTGCATCAACCCGATAACGCTTGGTTACCGCCTCGGCAATGAGAACCACCTAGAAACTGCGCGGTTGTCGCGCGTGTGTTAACCAGGCCTAAGCTTCACCACTGCATCAGGACAATAATTTGGGCCAGTACTAAAAAGAAATAATGCTGAATGAGTATGACTGACATTAAATACATTATTATGGAAGTTGCACCATAATATACAAGCCCTCATTTCCTCTGGTGTAGTGAATGTTGGTGACTGGTGTTGATAGTTCACCATTAGATGACATAAAAGCCTATAAGCCCCAAAATTACATTTAACTAATTTACTCAATGAGGACCAATTTTGCGGCATGATATTCAATTACTTTATATTAATTCAGCATTTCAAGGAACCTGTTTATAATAATGAAGGTAGAAAGTACCAGGAACTATTGAGTACTTACCTGGTTGTGTGTGATGGCATGGAGTAGTTCTTGCCTCTGTTCAAACACGGGCAGTTTCTCCCTGAACTTTATCAGGTCTGGATTGTATGTAGTATTTGGCACCTACAAAAAATATTTTTGTTTCTGTATAGTCAGCAAAAATGCTTAGCTTATGAATAAAAGGAATACATGAATATCAATTACTACTTGAATTGGAAAAAGGGTGAATTGCAGTTGATAGTATTTCTTATATCAGTAGACAAAAACTAGTAAAATGTATTGAAAAAATACTCCACATACATAGATCTTATTCAGCATGCAAGACAACTCCTAAAACTTGTTTCACAAAGACTTTTTGTTATGATGGTTACAAGAAATTAATGTTTTTATGTAAAAAATATATTTTATCAATGTCTTAAAACAATGGAGTAAATTGTCTGGAGGTAACTATACTTCTTTTGATGTAGAATTAAATTTTTCAGTGAAATAATACCATTTGCAACTTAGCTAATTATGAAAGACAATAAAATGTAACACTAAGTCTTTGTTACAAGGTACAAATTAAGTTTTGAGCCCTGCCACCTGTAACAATGTTTAATACAATGACAATAATATTGAATTATGCCTTCCCATACCTGAGCTACTCCATTGTTCAACTGCCCAAGAGTCTTATGAGCTAGCTGTGGGCTACGTTCCTTCTCCGGACAACAGCTCAGGTCATCCTTCTCCTTGCTGGTGATCGGGAAGGCATTGAACAGCTCCGCTATGGTACACCGCATGTTGGAATCCAAGATGAGTTTGGCATCATTCTGGATTATGGTTGAGCCAAGACGCTTGTATATCGTCAGGTAACGGTTGACACCTTAAAATAAAAAGTAATGTTAGAAAGTTAGTATTACTTTTAATTGCACAACTATTTTGCCTACTCTGGATTATGAAGATTGCACAATGCCAAGAAATTTGGTTTGAACTACAAAGATAACGAGATAATTAAAGCATAAAACAAACTTCTGTGCGCAACAGTTATTTAACTGTACATAATGTCAGCAAACGCTCGAGTTATTGTTTGTAAACTAAAAGTCAAAGCCAAGAGATTTACCTTTCCCGCGCGATTTTGACTTCAACCCCAACTTCGCCACTGTCTCATGGATGAAGCCTCTCTCTTGAGCCGACAGAAACGTCGGAAACTTAAGTTCAGTCTCATTTTCATCACTCAAGAACTTATCCAGTTGGATCTTCAGAGCTATACTCACTGACTCGGCTATTGGAAAATGTTTATTGCCTAATTGGCGCCTTCCTTTCTTCGAACTCATGTTGAAGCGTGGTCTAATTTTAGTCTTTTCTAACCAGGAATATTGGTAATCACCATACTCCTTAGATAATTTTATTTACACTAAAATTATCGCCAATCGCCTAAATTCGTTCATCAAAAGGCCAACAAAAAATCACCTCTTCTGCCTCTATCTGTCAAAATCTGACAGTCAGCGTCAAACTGACAGCCCGGATCCGGAAGTAAAACCAATACAGGTAAACAGATTTTTTTTTTAAAACTAAGGCAAACTTAACTCTAAACAAAATAAAAATATAAACTTATATTACTCAAAAATAAAAGTGTGTCCGTGAGGCAAAGAGGCGAGAATGCTGGCTGCATTTCCTCGCTGAATGGCAATACTAAGCCTTCATAAGCCTTTGTGCAAGGAAAGAGCCAGCATTTAGATTTTCCGAAATTTTAATTAATTTAGGGAAAATGGTCCGAAACAGTAATTTAGCATTCGGTCCCCAAGGTCCGAAGGTCTCGACACCAAAAGGCGCAAATATGTAGTCATTAGAAAGTGACTCATATTTGCGCCGTTTGGCTAACTCAGCCGACTCTGCTGCAGCCCCAGCTTTAGCAACTGATTCCCTGAGGTGGGAAGGGGCTAAAGTATCGACACATGTAGCGTCCCAAACTAAAGCCCGTCCCCGTTCCCAGGGAACCAGAGTGAGACCATCAGGTCTCTTGCCATCATCACGGACCAATCCACGTGGTTCTAACGTGGAAGGAACGTTGATGCTGGCAAGGGCTCTCCTGATGGCGTCGTTGAGAGCAGCGTGTCGGGCGAGACGGCCAGCACTTTGCTGGCAACATAGACCGTGGTGACCGAATTGGTCCACCTCTTTGCCACAGGGACACGTGTGGGGTACACAGATTGGTGCACCGAGGCGTAAGCCCACACACACCCGGAAAGACTCGTTGTCAAAAAATGTTCCGAGATTTTTGGAGGGAAGTGCATTTAGCCAGTGACCGGATTCCCTACAAGAAACCGCTAAGAGCCTAGCTTTGTTAGTATCACTGATAGAATTTTGAACAAGGTGGTTAAAAGTCTCTTTCGCTAGTGGAGCGTCCCAGAGTTTTTGATGATGACGTTCCTTTGGGACGTCCTCACTAGGACAGAGACTTTTCCAAGATTCTTCCGCCTCACTAATTTCATCTAAAAATGTGCTGTTAAAAAAAATTTTTTTGACGAGGGGAAGAGTACTGTAAGCGGACGAAAGAAAGGCGGGTAAAGCAACACTAGAAATTTTGCGTATGCCGATACCACCAAGCCGAATAGGGAGTGTGGCTTGTAGCCAGGAATTATCATTGAGTTGCAAATTTAGAATTTTTTCAAGGGAAGATCTAAGGGTCGAATCTATCACGTCCAAATAGTTGTTTTTTTTTCAAACTGGACTTGCACGGAGAAATAGTAAACAACAGAGTATATGTAAATTTAGGGACAAATAGGCAATATTTCAAAATAGTGAAAGCAATATGAGAATTTAGATGTTCCAGCCTGGACGCCATATTTGAAAAATGGTTAATTTTTTTGTCCAAACAAGGTTTAATGCTGTCATCGAGAAGAGGAGCACCAAGAAGGCAAAGTGAGTCAGAATTTAGAATTTTGATGTTGGGGGCCAGACAGTTGAATTTATCCAAAATGTTTTGTCGAATATTTGAAGGAATATTATTGTTAATAAAAATTTCGCATTTGGAAAGGTTAAGGTCTAGTCCAATCTTTTTAAAGTTGGTCATTATCCTAACAAGATCATTATAAACAGAATCTGCTTTGCCTCCTAGGGTACCGTCGTCAAGATACCAAACATTTAATTTCGAATTTAGATTGGAGATGATTGGGTGGATACCTAAACTAAAAAGTGCTGGACCTAAAGGATCGCCTTGCTGAACACCAACGGCTGACTCAATACAATGATCGGTATAAAGTAATTTAGATGGGGAGTTGTAACACTGGTAAACGAAAGGATAAATCTGAGGAATGTGGAAACGAACCTCGTTCAGCAAGGCGGATCTGTCCAGCGAGTTGAAAGCATTCTTCACGTCTAAATCTGTTTATTGTAAATACAGGTAAAAAAAACGGCGAGTGAAAAAAAAAAGTTTAAGGTCGACGCATACCTTTGAATTCGGATATCAACTCGCATTATTCGTTCAGTATTCTCCCTCTTTCAACGCAAAGGGTAGTCAACGTTAAGCCGGGTCTTTAGCGCGTGTTTTACTCTACACGAGTGTAGAGCAAAACTTAACAAGCGCTGGAGACCCGGTATGAGCTTTACGCCTAATAGTTGGCGGGGCGAAAAGCGATACGGTTCCCTTTCCGAATTGATTAGTGTGCTATTACCTTAATCATTCCGTTTGGTTTTCTGTGATATAAAAAAAAAGATTGTCAGAATTTGACAGTTGTCAGATGTGAACAACGTCAAAAACACGCAGATACACGTGCGTGAGATTTATTTTTTCTTGTATTTTCAATGCAAATTAAGTAAAATTATATCCATAAAATGTCGAAGAAAATTAAGCATTTAGTTGTTGATACAACGGCCTTTATTAAAGCAGCCAATTTACAAGATCTAGCTGAGAACGTTTACACAATTCAGGAAGTGATTGATGAAATTACAAATGATCGTCAAAGAAGAAAACTTGTTGTCTTGCCGTACGACTTGAAAGTGAAGAATGTGTTTTCTGAAAATATCAAATTTGTCACAGATTTCTCCAAGAAAACCGGAGACTACACAAGCCTGTCGGCAACAGATATAAAGGTTATGGCACTGACTTACCAACTTGAGAAGGAAATGATTGGCACAGAACACTTAAAAACTGAGCCTACAATGCAACGGACTATAAAGGTTACAGGTCTAGGGGGCTACAATGGTAACCAGACTAGTGAAAGTACATCAAACACTGCTGAAGTTCAAAGCAGTGAAAAAAATGCAGGCAATGAATCTGAGCCTGTCACTGAAAGCGATACAAATACACCAGATGATCTTGGCAATGATCAGTCCAAAACTGAAGAAGAAACTGATGAATTAGCACAAAAAATTGCAGAGCAAATGCAAAATATCGACTTGAAAGACGAAGAAGTAGATAACCTCATAGTTAAGGTAGATACAGATGAAGAAGAGAATGAATCAAGTGAAGAAGAAGACTCTGACAGTGATGGAGGAGACTGGATAACCCCGGGCAACCTGGCTGAAAAGAAGAAGGAAATGGACATGGGAGAATTTGAAGATAAAGCTGTAGAAGTTGCCTGCATCACCTCGGACTTCGCCATGCAGAATGTCCTCAAACAAATAGGTTTAAATGTTACAGCTATAGATGGAAGGATAATCAAACAGCTTCGTACCTTTATTTTTCGTTGCACAACCTGTTTCAAGACAACCAGTGTGATGACTAAGCTGTTTTGCCCCAAATGTGGCCATGCCACACTGAAGAAAGTGGGGGTCAGCATAGATGATGATGGCAACCAGCATATCCACATCAATGGCCGTAAGCCCTTGTCTGCAAGAGGGAAAAGATTCAGCTTGCCCACACCCAAAGGTGGACAGCACTTCCAGTACCCAATCCTCACTGAGGACCAGCATATTCATAAAAGGTTTGCAACCAAAATGGCCAGGAGCAAAACTAATGCCTTAGACCCCGACTACATCGCTGGCTTCTCACCTTTTGTCATGAAAGATGTCAACTCAAAGTCAGCAGTGCTGGGAGTCCGAGCCAACAAACAAGATGTCAAATACTGGATGAAAAACTACTCCAAGGGAAAGAAGAAATAACACTATTTATTATTGTAAAATAGAATCTATTGTCTTATTATTAAAAACAACTATACATTCAGTGATTCGTATCATTCAACCTACAGTAAATAACAGTGTACATTGTGCTTGTAAATAACTACTTATTTGTAAGTTTCTCTTCAACAAATTTAAAGGCGGATTCGATGCATGAGCATGAGGACATCTCATGTCTTGGGTGACCTGTAACATAATAATTTTACACTTCATTAGACAATATATTTTAGGGTTTCTCATACTATACCCATTTATTATTACACAGTGTATCTGTCACAATTACAAGTTAAACTTACCAGCTGACACCCTAGGGCAATCAAATTCAGGAGTTTTCATAGGTGTGTCCAGTGGTGCAGATGAGGAAATCCAGTTTCTTGTTATCTAAAATAAAATAAAAACATTGTTAAGCTCCTTTGAAAAATAACATTGAGTAATTTTCTATAAAAATCTGTAGTATGTAAGTACCTCCTTCATAAATGTGGGCATTTTTATTGGAGAAAATGCATGAACAGAATCTGTAAATGCTATGGCTTTGACTCTCTTCTCAAATTCACTTTTCAACTGGTCTGCTAGACTGACTGTCACCACTCCCCCATAGCTGTGTGCTACAATGACTACAGAAGTTGCTTTGGCTTTAGATATGTATGTCTCCCACACATAGTAAGCATGCTCTTCAGCACTGCTGCTATGTGGTATCTTCTTCCCATCTGCTTGGTAATTATCATTGGTATTCAGAATCATAACTCCATAGCCTTTGGCAATAGCTCTTTCAATGTAAGGGATCTGAGTTCCTTGTTCTAGGTTTTCATTGATGATTAGGCTGCAAAATATTGTGTAAAGTAAACAAAACTCAAATTCCAGTTGATGACATTAAATTCAGTAAAACTATTGTACTAGTTATTTAACCAGTAAATTTTAAACAAGTATTGATCTAGAACACTTACGATCTAGCCCATTGCCCAGCTCTGACTGCTCCTGATCCATTAATTAGAACAAGGAGCACATCCTTATGGTTGTAGTCTTTGGATGCAAATATAAAGGTGCCCGTCGCCGGCGTGGAGCCCACGGGCACAGGCAATCTAACTAGATTATATTTGGTTTCAAGGAGGCTGTATATGTGCTCAGTGATGGCACTACCCAACTCCTCATAGTGAGCCTGACACTCTTGATGCTGATCACTGATGTTAAACTGAAACGGCTCCTCACTAGGTTTGCCATCGGGACCTATTTTTCTTAATTGCCCATCTAAAATTTAAGTAAAGCATGAAAACATCAGCCCATTCTTAGCTAGTATTATTATAAGTGAAAATCCTTACCACTGTTGAATGCATAACCCAAATCCTTCATGCTTTTTACAGCTTCCATATTCTTTAATGTCGTTGTAGCACTTGCAGTGTAATTTATTTGAGGTACAATCGGTTTTATAGGATAATCGGAGCGGCAACACAATCCCAACTTACTAATATGTTTGCGAAGCATTAACACAATATTACTGCTAAAAACTGTGCTGATATAAATTTATATATCATGAGAAATCAGTTTAATTATCAGAGAATAGAATTAATGGGATTAAAACCAGGAAAATTTAAAGAAATACGCAAATCAATTAATTTGTTGTTGTGCGGGTTGTCATGTTGCATGACAGCTGATAAAAAAAAAATGTCACATTGACAGCCTTTGTACTTTTTTATACAATATTTTGGCAATGGAACGATGTGATTTAAGCCTCGTTTCATTAGCAAAGTGGAGATCTTTCTGAAATCATCTAAAGAAGCATACTTTGAAGCCCTTTTATTTAAAATCAGATAGAAACTTTTATTTTTTTCAATTTACAATGGATAATCTACCCGTTTTCAAAAGTATCTCCTCTTGTGCTTACTTATGATAGACCACTGTTCCACTAAAATACTGCAGGAATCTACTCAATAAAGCGCTATATCAAAGTTTCTAATGAATGAACAATTCCTACATAACAAAATCATGGTTAGTTTTGGATTTTTATTGGATTTCATTCACCAAACTACAAAAGTACCTCAATACAAGTCAATTACATTATCTTTATCGCTTAATATACATACATCATGTTAGTAATAATAAAAGTAATTTCACTGATATAGGTTTAATCATTGTACCAATCAAGGAACAAAAGTGTGAAAGACATAACCAGTAAAACAAACAGGATGTAGACCCGCAAACCAGCGTTCCTCTGAATGGCTTGCTTAATTTGTTCATTAGCATCTTTGACGTTTTCTGTGGCTCCTACTACTGTTGTGGATATCCTATCTATGTCTTGCTCTTGCTGAAGAATCTGTAAAATAAAATAATCCAGCTTAAAGTATTTTTAAACTTTTATCTTTTTATTTAAACCTTGGGGGAAGCCTTTGTCCAGCAGTGGACATCATTTGGCTGAAATAAACGAAATATTTTTATTTAAATTCATTACTTAATTTATCATTAATTTTGGATACAAAACCCATTTTATTAGATTTCCCTAACTAAACTTGGTTTTTATAAAAATATGTAAAGATTAAAATCAAGATAGTGTTTCATTACCTTTTCAGTGAAAACTTCTTGCAATTCAGCTATATGCAAGACTTTGCTCTCAATCTGCCGCACTTCTTCAGTCATGTTGTTCAGTTCATTCAGAAGCTGCACATTCTCTGCCTCAAACATCTGCATCTCTTCTGCACTCAGCTGCTCCTCATCTGCCAACACTGCAGTTTCATTCTCTGACAAATCCAGACTTCTCTTAGCATTGTCAGTTTCTTCCATTTCCGCTGATTCTTCTTCTTCTTTGACTATAATATCTTTCTCTGTTACAAAAGGGTTTGGAATGTTTGACTTTGTTTGCGGCAGTTCCAGTCGCGATAACTTGCGTACATCCAACGCTCGTTGCACCCGCAGGGCCTTCAGCTCGCTGTGTATCTTACACACAGCTTTTAAGTACATATCTATGAGATCCATCACGCCGTCCATGTAGTCCCGCATCTGCTGGGACACGGCCACCTTGCGGTTATCGTTCCGGAACTCTTTCAGCAAGTGAGAACAGGTGTTTATAATGCGCTGTGCCCCCGCGTCTATTTGGTCCCTATCCGAATCTGACATCTCGTCCCCAGTAACATTATCGAAGAAACTTAAATATTTATCTCTGTACTCCAACAGAAAGTCGCGCAGTCTTGTTATTTGCGAATTTATGTCCCTCGCTGTAGTCATAAAAGCACTCTTGGGTTTCGTCCGAAGTATTCGCTGTTTGTCTTCGCTTATGGGGCTATGGATGCCAAAAGCTTTGTTTCGTGTTTTCACGGTTTTTATGCACGCTTTAAATAATGGAGTGATATCCATTTTTTCGGAATTAATCGAAATATTTCGGATTGATTCGCTGTGTTGGAAGTTTTTCAAAGGTTTACAAAATGACAGCTATGACAAGTTTATTTTAACGTTTCAAGAAGTAGAGAAATAGTGTTGCAACAATTAATTCACGCATTCACCCTACTCCCCCCGACTGATTATTTTCTAGTACATACATTCATCATTCGTTCAATTTCGTCCCGTTCGTTCGTGAATTTGACATTTTCTTGACGTTTCTAGAGTAAAAAAGTTGACCATTTGTCGGTAAATAAATTTATTCTAATTAGTTTTTTAGTCCGTAATCATTAAAATTAATACCATGGGATCAACTGGGCCTAGTTCAAATCATCCCAAACAAAAGCATTCTATACCAACTGATATTTTAGATGATTTGTGCAGGTAAGATTGCTGCAAGAATTTGGAGCATGAATGTGCTTTGTTTTCAAAACATTTTAATCTTTATTATTTTGTTTTCTTCAGCCGGTTCATCATAAATCTCCCTCCTGAAGACAGAGGGAACCTCGTGCGAATATGTTTTCAAATCGAGCTCGCCCATTGGTTTTATTTGGACTACTACTGCACCGACGAGACGACAAAGTTAAACCCGTGTGGTATCAGGGAGTTTGCTGCACATATTTTTCAAGTAAGCATAGTGTTTTATGTTATAAATTATTAATTGCAGCTACCAGCGTTGCATTGCGATTTTATTTCGATTTGTGAAATTTTTGTTTGTAAAATATCTTCCATAATACAACTAGATAAGGACCCACGGTGTTTAGCTTGTCCACCTGTCGTCTGTACATAACTGAATTAGTGTCTACCTGCATTTTTAAATAAAAAAAAAATTTAGTTACCTACATCTTTTTAAGAAGAAACTTATTTGTTTATTTCCAGCACGTCCCACAACTCCGAGAGCACGTAAGCAGCCTAGACGCGGTGCTGGACAACTGGAGGGAGTACAAGTTGAAGGTGCCCACGTACGGGGCCATCCTGCTGGACACCGACCTGACACACGTGCTGCTCGTGCAGTCCTACTGGACCAAGGCCTCCTGGGGCTTCCCCAAGGGCAAGGTCAACGAAGACGAAGAGCCGTGGAAGTGTGCCGCAAGAGAGGTAGATTTCATAATAAATGAGTTGTTTACAATTGGGGGTTTATTTAGCTATCATCATTGTACAGTTGACAGCACGAAGCTAAACATGCTTAAGTATCTCATAATACAGACTATATTGCAACAAAAATGCTATAGCCTGACATGCTATTGACTGTACAATGGAGTAGTTATGAAGGTATCTATTAAATTAAGAGTAAGGCTCTAGATTGTAAGGGTCTAAATCATCCTACTTATATGATTTTCCTTCGTAACATATCAAACTAATTTGGTATAATTTGTCTTGCAGGTATTGGAAGAAACTGGCTTTGACATAAGTAAACTAATCAACAAAAATGACTACATTGAGGCTATTATTCACGATCAAATAGTCCGGTTGTATCTCATTGGCTACATCCCGCGCGAAACTAAGTTCCAGCCTCGAACAAGGAATGAAATTAAAGCTTGCGAGTGGTTTCCACTGGCGGATCTCCCATCGAACAAGAAGGATATGACTCCAAAAGTCAAAATGGGGGTCAGCCCGAATGCATTCTTTATGGTGCTACCGTTTGTGAAACGCATGAGACGTTGGGTCTCAGAACGTAATTCGAAAGTGTTCAATAATAGTACACGAAGAACAAGGCACAAATCTATGGGCGACATCGAGTCTACATCAAGCAAGACTAAAACGAAATCCATTTCTCAGGGGCTTCAAAATGAGATACAAGAGTATCAGCAGCAGAATACCCCTCAGAAGACTTATCCGAAGAATAATAACCATGTTAACAGTAATAATGCTTATGTTAACAACAATGGCCATCTCAACAATAGTAATAGCAGCAATAATGTGCATGCCAACAATCATTCTCATAGCAGTGGCCCAAGTACTCAAAGTGGCTCTCAAAGCCACGGCCACAGTCAGCCCAACCATGGCAGTGCCTCTAAAAATGGCAACAACCAAGGAAGTGGTAATAAAAAGGATAAGAAAAACTCGAAGCGTCAGCTGTTTACGCCGCAGAATACTCATAGCAATAACTTTTCGCCCGTGCAAAAAGATTCTAGTCCTAATGCGGAGGTTCCGGACGATTATAACGCGTTCTTTAACTTCGTGGCGCCGTCGTGGGCCAACTTCAAGTTCGACCGACGCGCGATCCTGGACTGCCTCACCTGAAATAGGCCAGAGTGCCGCGCGGTTACCTCAAATGCTAAAGCAATTGATGTTTGTGAACTCAACAATTGGCTTTAATAATTTTGTTATTCAAAATTACTGTTATAAGTATTGATATTTTTCGATACTAATAAACTACTTAGATATCAACTATTCTTTTATTCATCTCAATCAGGTACAGTCCCTATAATAAAGGAAAGTACCCTCATTAAAGTTAGGAAGCAGTTCATTCCAGTTTCTTTATCATGTTCAAAACGGAATTTGAACCCAAGAACTGCGCCCGATAGTAAAGTAACTGACACAAATTGCATGTGCGTTTTGATTTATGCACTTCGCGTGCCAGGCTATCGTACGTTAATTAATAACTGCGTAGTAAACTTGTAATTAGTGTCTGGAGTGTTACAGTAAGGAATGATGCAAGTCCTTGTCTCTCACTAGTCAGTCACATGTATTAAGGTTAAGTACTGTGAATTTGTTTACATGGCGTTGTTGAATCGAATCTGAAACAAGTTTCCATATTTTCAAGCTGTTTGTCACATATGACATCTACATGATGGCCCAGACCAGATGGATTTTGCGGATTACTAGACCGAAAGAAACAAAATAGATAATATTAGTATGATTTTATTTGTGTAATCCATACAAACAATCTCATAATGAAATTAATATCACATCAAAAATATAGCGCTAATAAAATTAAAACTTAAAATAACTTACAAAATATACAAATTGTTCTAAAAATAAAACTCTTGGTCTTGGCGTCGCATTATAACTAAGATCTTACCATCAGGATTATTTCGTTTAAATATCTTTCCAACTATGGCTAATGAAGGCTTTGATCAATGCCAACAATATTGAGGAACCAAATTTACCTACTTATAAAAAATAAAATTTATCTAGAAACATTTGTATTTACAAAAGAAAACAATGAATTAATTATAATGCAGCATCGAAGGACGTGTATTTGCATACACGTAATTTAGCATAAAATACTGAAACGCGTCGCTTTTTCTAATACTCGACCAATAAAGCAATGATTACATAAACCCAATATCAAAAATAGCCTTTTAGCTCGACAGGTACAGGTTGTCGATCAAACCACCCTGTATTCACACTTAAACGCGCTAATGTTAAATGAGATCAAGAAAGAAACACTACAACGCGATGGAGCTAACTGCGCATTCGCTGCCTCGCACTCACCTGCGCACATCCCCAATTTCGCCCCGTCCATACCAGAGCGTCGATGTGACGTCACGGCTACCAGGTACGCAGTTATCTCAACCGGGTTGTAAATCCGATCCGCACGCATAGCCAAGGGTTAGTTTGTATGCTGTAGTAGACGCTGTAGTACCGTCGGGCTCATGGTTAAAAAAGGCTAACATTATTTAACTATAACATACAACAATCAATTAACATTCAATATGCATAAGGTACACAATTAACTCATGTAAATGTTGTTTTCGAAATATTTTATACATATAAAGACTTTATTTTTGCTTTTTTACGCACACTGTGCAGGCACTTTAAGAGGTTTTAAACATTAAATTAACTCTTTAGTAACGCATTGAGTTACAAATGTTTTGAAGGCATTTATTGGAATGCTGTTATATGAATGCTTGTATTTACTAATTAGTCATAGGATTTAAAATGATTATTGATTACATATTAAGCCGCAGCTATTTTAGTACTTTAAACGTCATAATACAAAAGTTTGGTTAGCACTTAAAAATACATAGTATTAGTACATACACATAAATTAGTATAATTATGTATAGGGTGATAGATGGAACGCTAGAAAAACTACAGGAGGTTATTCTATTTCATTTAAAAAAAACTGATCCGAAACAAAATTGAAAATTACTCGAGCAGAATGTATAAAATAGCAGGATTTTTTAAAAATAAATTTTACCATTGGTTCCATAGTACCTTTGGAAGTTACTTCTACGTTTAATCTATCACCCTGTATATTCATATTTAAATTACACAGATCATTGAATTACAGTCTAAATTAATTTAAATTTTACTAAAACGAATATCTAATCAAACGTAAACTGTCTCTGGTTTGTTTATGGTCAATTAAAATTAAAATCGTGCTCTCTAAGACGCTGTTATGTAAAAGGTTCTTGTTGTTATTGAGAACACTGGTTAAGTGCTAAAGTATTTTAGGATGCAGTTTAAGTTGCTAAAAATGAATAATACCATCCAACTCAAACTCAATTAAAATATTATTTACACCGTAATAATATAATAATTTGGTGCCATGCGTCTATTTTGCATTTTCATTGGTTCCTAAGTTCTTTCCCAATATATTATGTAATTTGGTAGGGGTCCTTTTAGACCAATACGCAGTCCATCTTTGAGCCTATCATGTCACCTGTATTCTGTGAACAACTAAGCTAAAAAGTTTATTTTTCTAAGGGCGCGGGCGGGACGATTTCAATTGAATCCATGATGTAAAATGTTGGGAAAATTGTAAGAAGGCATCGGTTTCCTACATGTTATTGGTTGACTTTGCGATGGTGGCTCTGAAAACCTGTAAGCGAAAATGAAGGCTTGTTTACTATTTTTCTTTACTGAAGTGTCTTCTAAATGGTTGGATTTTGGGCTCTGTTTAGTCTAATTTTTAAATTTCCGCTATGTTAAAATATTGAATGTCGCAAGGGTGCGGCACATTATTATTGACATATTGTTAAAACTCGGTCAGTCGGTTCAATCATTCTAAAAATGTTCTAGGGTTTTTATAAAGACTCATTTAATTGTCTTTGTAGCACGCTGAAGCTGCCAAACATCATGTTTCAAAAACTTTCTTCACCGTTAGGCTAAGGGTGTCGGATTGGCAGACTCGAAATCCAAGGAACGCTAGTTCAAAACTTCAAACCCAGTCGCCCCTGGACTATTATGGTGAACCCACTCGTAACATAAGCAAGCATATTATATATCAGTGATGGCCAAGAGGTCGACCGCGGTCTACCGGTCGACCGCGAAGACGATTTTGGTAGCCCGCGAGAGTTAAATAAATTGAACTTATTTTAAAATGTACTATTCGCGCCAAGAACACTGACTATCTATCTATCTATCTACCTATAAATATAGGTACTCACACGCTTCGGTCGGTCGTCGTAACGTCGTAGTATTGTTGCTGCTAAAATGTTTTATTTCACTCTTATAAACTTTACCTTGCATTCGACCGCAAGAAATATTTTCGAGCATAAGTAGACCTCACAGTTCAAAAGTTTGGCCACCCCTGTTGTACATACACTCAACATCAAATAAACCGCACCTTCCGCGACGCGAACTTTAAAGATTTTCTTTTGACACAATCATGGTGCCTCAACAATATTGGTGTTATTTGAAAGCCCAATAAATAAACTTAAAGAAAAACACATTTAATTTTTTTATAAACAATTAACAGATAAGTACCATAAATGTGACTTGAAAAAAGGCCTCACTTGGGGCTCACCTATGGGACCAAGTAGACCAATTTTTGTGGTTATAAAACCAAATAATGATCTTACGTGTCCTTTTTAACAGATGGATAGCAATTAATCCCAACTTAACAGTTTTATAGCCATAAAATTTGGCTCAAGCGTAACTACCTATTTTTTGAAGAAGTGACTCTGGATCCTTCTAAAAACACATTTTTGGGGTAAAAACCTTTCCTTTAATGAAATGAAGCTTAGAACTAAGCTTTCAAATGGAACCAATGTTGGTGGGAAGTGGGGATGCATACGTTTGAGAAGTGCTTGTTGCGGGAGGTGCGATTTATTTGATGCCGAGTGTATTTGGCTTAACACGGGGGGTTAGCGGGAAAAAAATCAAAACAGTTTCTATTCTACTCACATCAGTCATGCTCCCTCAGCGCGCTGAAGCTATAAGGTCATTCGTCGTCCAGCAACCGGCGCGGCGGGTCGTGGCGTCGGCGCACCAGCGCATAAACCGCGCCCGACGCCGCCAGGGCTATCGGCAGCCCGAGGCCCACGCAGATGATGCCGATCACGAAGGCCGAGAAGCCTTCTAGGGGAGGCGCGCCGTAGCCCACCGTGAACGACCTAGATAGATTGAAAATTGTAAAAATACCAACTCGAAACGATAATGTAGTTCAATTTGCGCGCCGTAGCCCACCGTGAACGACCTGATAGATAGAAATTTATTGTACACCAATAGACTAAGAGCTAGTGAAAGCCAGACCTAAGTCATTTTATAAAAGCTGAAAGTTTGTCAGCATATGCTCCCAATACATGATAAAATGTTGGTGAATCATGAAGTTCGGGTCAACGTGGCTTTGACAGCTTTTGTAAAATTATGTAAGTCTGGCGTTCACCAGCTCTTGGTCTACAAGAAATACCAACTCGAAACGATATTATGTAGTTCAATTTTCAGTGTTATCGATAGCAAGTGATATATTTAAGCAACCCTGAGTGAGGAAGATCTACGCAGACATTTAGCCATCTTAGACTTGCTGGACAAGCTGATTTTTTTATCACAGTGCGGGCGTATACCGTTTACTTAAAATAACTAAAACGAGCATAAGTGATGTAACTACGGGTATAATGCATAACTGAGGATAGTCCTATGGTTAAATCAATGAGACTTCAGATGTGCTCAATAAGACATGGCCATGATATGACACATACCATGACCACAGGAACCTATTCAGTTATATCCCTTTTTTTATGTGACAGGAGGCAAACGATATGTATCGTAAGTAGAATTTGTGTAGGTATCGAATGACAAGATAAACAAAAAGAAAGGAATAAATAATTTTTTTTTGCATGGCAGTTATTTTATGCATGAACTTATTATTATTATTATAAAACTTCTTTGCACAATAAAATAGTACAAAAGGTGGACTTAATGCTATTTGAGCATTCTCAGCCAGTCAACCCCTGGGTTAAGCAGAAAGCTGTGAGTGCGAAGGTAGAGGTAGAAGGGTAGACGTTAAAATTGAACTTACCAAGAAGTGTAGTTGTGCTTCTCGTAGAACCCGTCGCCGGCCTCGCCGAAGGACACCAGCAAGTCCTGCAGCAGCAGGCGGCTGGCATCGGCGTGACGGAAGAACGTCTCCAACGTGCTGCTCTTGGGGATTGACGTCCTGCACAAATAAGATGATAATTAGTGTTGGTATTAGGCAGTTGGACCCGATTCGAATTTTATGAAGAATCGGCCCATATCAAATCGGTGTAGTCTTTCATACTGATTAACAGTCCGACCCGACTATCAGCCGATAAAAAGTCGGTCAGTCTGCGCCTAGGCTTATTAGACTAACGATAATAATAATAATAATAAATATCCTTGGACATTTTACACTGCGCTTCTAGTCCCAAACTAAGCAAAGCTTGTACTATGGGTACTAGACAACGGATATAAACATATTAATAAACGGACAAATGAAATCAATTTATTTGTAAAATTCGAGAGTCGCTAGTTCGTTCTAGAAACTAAACAACAGTCTGAATAAATAAATGGAACCTTGTCCCAATCTTAACAAATCTCGTCAATGGGAACCGACATGACCGGTGATAAAAACATGCTTGAAAGTTTTGACACGCCTTTTTGTTTTTGCAAGTTGGTCTCCTTTTAAGTAGATTACAAATGATCGCGCTAAAATCAATAAATTAATAATCAAAGTTGTCTCGTAAAAGAACCGAACCTGTTGAAAGCGGAGACGTGCACTATCGTAGAGGTGGTGACGCCGCGCTCTTGCGTGGTGTAAGCCACGGGCCGGAACTGCAGGAAGCCGCCGTCGCCGCTCCGGGCCGACTCGGGAGATTTGATCTCTATTATCTAGGGGGAAAAGATAAAATTAAAACCAGCTTTAACTCCTAGGGCTTTAGAACACACAACAAGATGTATTCAGTTACATGGAGGCATCGGCATAGTCGAGTAACCAATTTATTGCAGGCAATCGAATGTTGCTATTTGTCACGAGGCGACCACGGGGCACAGAGGCGCCACCACGGTGTCCTAATGAGATGGCCTTATCCAAAACACACACCGCGATAGGCTGTAGTGGCTGAGTCATAGGTTTCATGACCCATTTTCTTTAGAGACAAAAAAGACTACTCAATAATAGGCATTGGAAAACCTAATACCCTTAAGAGCGTTTACGTCTAGCGTGGCATGTCAAGTATAGGTAATTTCGATGCTAGTTTTATTCACACTAAAATAATTATGACTGTGTGCGTGTTCTCACGCTCTATAGTCAAACCAAAATACTTTGATCCACCATCGTAAAAGTGTGCCAGGCTGTCAAGTGACAGCTCAAGGAAACTATAAAATCCTAATCAATAATAAATACGTAAATTCTTTATCAAATAGTAAATTATCAATTAAAGGTTTTTTACTATTTTGAGAATATTTTATACAGCCTATGTTCAGCAGAAAAATTTTTGAATTTTAATGGTGAGAGATTTTTTCAAATCGGTTCTATTCAAAACAAACTTTTCCTGTTTACTATTCTTTTTTTATCCGGAAAATGCATAACATTTCATACCCACCAGCTGCGGGGGCAGCTAGTGGGTTATGTGGGGTTCTTCCTACCAGAAGGTGGGTACTGGGTCAGGTTTTTAGTGGGTGTAGGGGCCTACACCCACTAAAAACCTGACCCGGTTAACCAGTCTCGGCTGAGGCCTCTCGCTCCCCTTTTCCACTGCTTCTTTCTGTGAAAGAACGCTTTCAAAGAAAGTAAGCACACTATACCATAAGATTATTTGTCTCATCATATANACCTCGTTCAGCAAGGCGGATCTGTCCAGCGAGTTGAAAGCATTCTTCACGTCTACTTTCAAGAGAATTTCGCAATCAGTGCTGGCCAAAAAGTTCCTAGTAGCATGAACGGCGGCTTCGCAACCTCCTTTGCTCCCAAAACCAACTTGAGTTGGTTGGAAAAGCTCTTTCAGGGGGCAGAAGATATCCCTACAAGCAAGTTTCGCTGCAAGANCTGCAAGATGAGTTCACTTCGGAACACGGATCGGCAAGCTATCGCAAAGTTGTCACGTTAACTGCTATTTAATGTTTTTATAGTAAAATTTTAAATTTTGTATTTCCACTCGCTTTCTGACAGATACGACGTGAAGTGGCTCATTTAATAAACGTGTAACTACCTATATAGAATTTACTCTCGCAAATGCAAAATTAGAAAAGGATGCAGAAGGTTTTTAATTAAAATTCCAGCGTGTATAATGTCTGCTGGCGATAATTATTTTTTATTTTAATTAGGTTTAAGTTTTCGTAAGCAACAAAAAGTAGATTTAGATTTGGCTTATTATGATTCTATTTAAAACTTCAGAGCAGATAGAGATTTTTGACTAAAAGCTTGCTCTTTTAGAAAATTTTCAGTGTCAAAAAAGCTCAGCTATTTTGGTAACGATTATTCAGTAGAAGATGGCGTAGAGCTTGATAAAGGAAATATAAATAACAGAGTAATATCCAAAATTGGCTGAAAGAAAAAAGAACAGAAAAAATATAGCCTACTTCTAAAGGTAGGGTAAAGATTTTTGCGACGGTGTTTGGTTTAAACTGATGTCATTATCTTTGAGTCTGAATTGTCTTTTCGTTGAACAAATTAATTATCATAGCTATTAAATATTCTAAGTACGCATTTTTCTAAATAAGCTTAATTTACACGAGTGTGTACTTAGTTTCTTTATTTTCAATTTAAAACAATTGCTCCACCTGCTCCACTGTTAGCTGAGTTAAGTTACCTAAACTTCCATCCATCTATCCACTAATTAAACTACAACTATGCATAACCATATCGTTCCAGCCATGCCGACGCGGGACTACAAGCGACGGAAATAAGTAGCACCATGAATCCCGCCCATGCGCGGTAAACATGCGCGACCGAGGGAGGCGGGGCCATGGAGTACGTGCCCAACAACCCGCAGTTCGGGCTGGCGGAGTTCTGCCAGGGCCACGGATGCTGCGACCCTCTGCAGCCTTGCTCTTGCGTGCTCAGGGACTTCCAGGACGACTGCTGTCAGGTGCGTTAGGATATAGCGTTAAAACGATTACATTCGCGATCTGACCGCGTAGAAAGATGAACGATTGACTTTTCTTTAATTATTGCATTAGTGAAAAGTGTATGGACTAAGTGAACGGTGCTCTTGAGTAAACAATTGGAGTGTATACCTACCAAGATAATCTGCAAGGTGAGTTAATAGACTTTGCTTTCTGAAAATTTTAGCTAACCTAACTTGCCAAGGAGCGCCTTATGATTACGGCAGCTGAAGGTTGTCAACTAATGAATCTAGGATAGTCTAGCTAGCTAAATTATTTGTGACCAAAGCCTCTGCACTAGAGAGAATACTGCTCTATGGTAAGTTATGTTACATCTGCATCCGTAAGCGCTCATCAAGGGAGAAAAATCTAGTCTTAGATATGAATGTTGGCTAGGTGAGTTCTGCCCAGCCTATCTATCTATAGATGTTAGCTGCTAAATGTATTGCACCCATGGAGTACGTGCGCAACAACCCGCAGTTCGGGCTGGCGGAGTTCTGCCAGGGCCACGGATGCTGCGACCCTCTGCAGCCTTGCTCTTGCGTGCTCAGGGACTTCCAGGACGACTGCTGTCAGGTGCGTTAGGATATAGCGTTAAAACGATTACATTCGCGATCTGACGTTGAGATGAACGATTGACTTTTGTCTCAGTGAAGTGTTCGGATTAAACAAATCAAACACTGATCAGTGAATTGTGCTCTTAAGTGAACAGTTGGAGTGTATATCGATCATCTTTCCAAGATAATCTGTAAGGTGAGTTCTACTTTGTTTTCCGATAATTTTACTAGACTTATCATGAGATATTCACTCAGGGATTAGGGGTGCAAGGAACGCCTTATGATTATGGAAGCTGAAGGTGTCAACTCATGAATCTAGAGGATAGTCTAGCTACATGCTGTATTGCTGAGAGGGAAACCACTACACAACAGAGAAAATGCTGCTCTCTGGTAAGTTTGTCATTTCCATGGAGGCTCAACGAGGGAGATATCAAACATATTGCTCCCATGGAGTACGTGCCCAACAACCCGCAGTTCGGGCTGGCGGAGTTCTGTCTGGGCCACGGATGCTGCGACAGCCTTGCTCTTGCGTGCTCAGGGACTTCCAGGACGACTGCTGTCAGGTGCGTTAGGATATAGCGTTAAAACAATCACATTCGCGATCTGACGTTGAGATGAACGATTGACTTTTGTCTCAGTGAAAAGTGTTTGGATTAAACAAATCAAACGCTGTGATCAGTGAATTGTGCTCTGGAGTGAACAGTTGAGAGTGTATATCGATCAACTTTCCAAGATAATCTGCAAGGTGAGTTAGACTTTGTTTTCCGAGAATTTTACTAGAAAATATGATGAGATTTACAACTAAGTATGTATGTAGTCGTCATTAGCTTTGAATGCAAGGAGCGCTTAAATGTCATTAAGGCTGCTGAAGATGATCAATAATGAGCCTAGCTACATGCTGCATTGGTGTGAGGAAACCCTCTACACAAGGGAGAATGCTGCTCTCTGGTAAGTTTGTCATTTCCATGAAGGCTCAACGAGGGAGATATCAAACATATTGCTCCCATGGAGTACGTGCCTAACAACAACCCGCAGTTCGGGCTGGCGGAGTTCTGCCAGGGCCACGGATGCTGCGACCCTCTGCAGCCTTGCTCTTGCGTGCTCAGGGACTTCCAGGACGACTGCTGTCAGGTGCGTTAGGATATAGCGTTAAAACAATCACATTCGCGATCTGACGTTGAGATGAACGATTGACTTTTTGTCTCAGTGAAAAGTGTTCGGATTAAACAAATCAAACACTGATCAGTGAATTGTGCTCTTAAGTGAACAGTTGGGGTGTACGGTATATCGATCATCTTTCCAAGATAATCTGTAAGGTGAGTTAGATTTTGCTTTCTGAAAATTTTAGCTGACCTATCTTAACTTTAGTTTGACTTTGGGATCCAAGGAGCGCTTATATGATTATGGCTGCTGAAGGTCAAATAAAGAGTCTAGGATAGTCTAGCTAACTATATTTTGCATTGTTGTGAGCAAAGCCTCTGCACTAGAGAGAAGACTGCTCTATGGTAAGTATGTCACATCCGTAAGCGCTCATCAAGGGAAATAAATCTAGTCTTAGATATGAACGTAGGCTAGGTGAGTTCTACCCAGCGATCGACTGCCTATAGATGCAAGCTGCTAAATGTATTGCACCTATGGAGTACGTGCCCAACAACCCGCAGTTCGGGCTGGCGGAGTTCTGCCAGGGCCACGGATGCTGCGACCCTCTACAGCCCTGCTCTTGCGTGCTCAGGGACTTCCACTTTCCAGGGCGACTGCTGTCAGGTGCGTTAGGATATAGCGTTAAAACGATTACATTCGCGATCTGACGTTGAGATGAACGATTGACTTTTTGTCTCAGTGAAAAGTGTTCGGATTTAAACAAATCAAACACTGATCAGTGGATTGTGCTCTTAAGTGAACAGTTGGAGTGTATATCAATCATCTTTCTAAGATAATCTGCAAGGTGAGTTAGATTTTGCTTGCTAAAAATTTTACTACACCTATCAAAACAAAAGACTACGATCCAAGGATCAGCTAATGAATCTAGGATAGTCTAGCGGCATGCTGCATTGAGTAACCAAAGCCTCTACACAAGAGATAATACTAAGAAGCAGTCTCTTAGGTAAGTTAGTATTTCTTATTATTTGTAAGAACTATTTATTAGTCTAAACAAATAAAGAAATTTTGACTTTGACTTTGACATTCCGTAAGCGCTCATCAAGGGAGATAAATCTTAGATATGAATGTAGGCTAGGTGAGTTCTGCCCAGCGGTCGAATGCCTATAGATGCAAGCTGCTGGCAAATTGCACCCATGGAGTATATCCAACAAACCGCAGTTTGAACTGGACGAGTTCTTTTTCGGTTCATCCGTTTGGGCGTTAACTACGACACACTTACAACACTTATTACGTATCTAGTTCTAACAGAAATATACTCGTACAGCCAAAATTAACATATTATAGAACTTGTGTCAAATAGAATTGTTAGAAAGTT